TATTGTTTTCAGAATATCATTTAGATTTACTAATTGATTTATATGGTCCATTGGTTTGGGATTGGATTTTCAAAAATATGATATTACAGAGGAGTTTTTATTGTTTATTATGAAAGCATTGATTAATACATGACTTGATGTTTTGTGTATAACATGTACATATATTTCAGTCTACATAGTGACTGTTTAAAGAACTTTAAAGATTTTCAAGTATCTGAACCAGGTTACAAGGAAACTAGAGGGAAGAAATATGTTTATTTTATTACTTCTGTTAAGTAGCTTATTTGATAAAGATTTTACCTCCACACTGGGTTTGAGATACATTCATCTGTCATTTAACTATAAAGTATCTTTGTAATTTAAATGGGTATTTTTCAGAAAACAATTAAAATTGTAATGGATTAATTATAAATAACACGTGACTATTAATGTACTCAAGCATTTAATTGTCATCAGAGTTATCTCCAAGTAAATTGTGTCTTTATTATTCTCTAAAATAGCTTAACTCATATATTAAAATTTAAGAGCTAATAACAATAATGATGCTAAATATACCTGGCTCTTCAAGGTCCACAGGAAATGTTAATGTGCCTTTTGCCAACAAAAAAAGAATTTTAGTATGTGTACCCAAATATTTTTAAATTTCCCAAGTTTTACTGTATATAGTGTCGCTGAAATCATTTGCAAAATGGTCAGAATCCAAATAACTCCAAATCACTGAGGCACACAAAAAACATTCACTATAAAAAGGATCTGAAGATAGAAGCCCACTGAAGTTAGAGAATATATATATTTGTACTGGGGATTTAACCTAGGAATGTTTAACCACTGAGCCACATCCCTAGCTCTTTTTATTTTGAGAGAGGGTCTTTTGAAAGTTGCTTAGGGTCTTGCTAAATTGCTAAGGCTAGCTTTCAACTTGTAATCCTTCTGCTTTAGCCTCTAGAGTCACTGGGATTACAGGTGTACAACACTGTGCCTGGCTAAATAGGGCATTTTAAAAAAGATAATTATCCTGGAAACCCTAGGGATGGGTGGAGAAGGGAAAGACAGGGAGGGACCAGGACACCTTCCATGGACCTCTTTGGCATTATGGGCTCATAGGATGAGCTGTTTTCTATGTGCCCCTGCCCCAGTTCAAGCTCATTTGATGTGAACACTTCTCCTGAAGTGCATTTCCATTTGGAGAGGCTCAAAGGAAGGCAAGCCTTTAACCAGCAATTTGAAACTTTGTTTGGATTTCCACAGTGACCTTCAGGGTCTGTGCTACTAGGAAATAATTATGAAATTGTGAAGATGAGGAACAAAGATTGGTTCAGTGATGTGTTGGACATGCCGGGATCAAAGGACTCCTATTTATCCTTGGGATAAGACTCAATCAAAATCTGTTTCTGGAAAGATTTTCCTGATGTTGCCATTCATTCACAGTTATATGTCCTGGTACAGCTAGGGCACAGTAGAGGATATGCATAGAATTTGGGATGGCTTAGCTGGGTGAGATGGCCCACACCTTTAATCCTATTGATTCTGGAGGCTGAGGCAGGAGGATTTCAAGTTCAAGGACAATGTGAGTAAGACTCAGTCTCAAAATTAAAAATAAAAAGAGTTCTAGGCTTCAATCACAGTACCAAAAAAAAAAAAAAAGGTGGTGGTGGTTTAGACAGATTTTATCTAATCCACAAAATAGATTCTAGTTCTTTACTAAAGATTAAACAAAAATGAATTTGCTTTAGGAAAGGTACTCAGTGTCCTCTTCACAGGAGAAAGGGAAGGTTGTAAATCTGGCTTTTGTGTTTTCACAACAAAGAATCTCCTCATATTCTCTCTGATTTTATGGTTGACCAACTCTGTCCTTTATTGCTCCCTGATAAAAAGGAAAAAAACAAAAGAAAATAATGTAAAGATTTTTTATTTCATTTCAACACAAAAGAAATTCCTCATCAGTGAAGAAGGAACTTAATTCCTTTGGGTAAGAGTTGAGGAAGAAAATGGAGAAAAGAGACTGATTAAATGAACACTTACTTGGACAACACAACAGAGAATCTTTAAGCTCCAAAATTAGTTTGTGGGCTTATCTTGAATGGAGCATGTTTTCACATTGCTTTCCACCCTTTTAGACTCACATGCACAGAGTTGCAGAACTGTGGAGGAGTCTGGCAGTCCTGGAGTGGAACCGTCCTGCAGAGGGAGAGATGTCCTAGGAGGTTCAGTCTAGCCTATTGCACGGGGCTCCCAAGTCTCTCTGGAAAGCCTTTAGCATTTTTTAGAAATCAAATCAGGCAAACCAAGTATTCAGAATCTCAGAGCACCTGCCTTTCATGACTCTTTGACCAGTGTGACTTCTATATTTCTTGAGTCATATTTTGCATGCTTTCTTTATAGGTATGATTAAGGAAAAAAAAAAAAAAAAAAAAAATACCAAAAAAAAAACCACTGCCAAGAGAGTTGAAGAAAAATTTTAACCTCAAGGGAAATCCCACTCCAAAGTATTTCCCTGATGAGACCTTCCCTCCCCAAATCCTCATTATTTTGTTTTGAAAGAGAGCATACAATATTTCTAGTTGATCACTGGAATTGGGGCTGTGGGGTATGTTCTCATCAGTATAGTTTTGAAAGACCTTGAATTTCTTAAAGGTTTTATAAGGTCTCTATTCACCCTCCCTTCTCACATGCTCATGGAGATTTCTCTGCTATCTCCTTCAGGTTTCTATTCATATGAGGTCTCTCTCGACGATCCTTCTTTTCTATTTTATTCCTCTTGGTAGTACTTAACACCATCTGACATACTATATTTACTTGTTGGCTTATTGTTTGCCTTCCTTTTCTAGAATGTAGCTCCATGAGAGGTGGGGGTTTTCCTCCTCTCTCTAGAATCCCAAGTACTACTGGTGCAGGGTTTTGCACATAGTAGGTTCTTTTCCTTTTTTCTTTGTTTTTTTTTTGTACTTGGGATTGAATCCAGGGGCTCTCAATCGCTGAGCCACATCCCCAGCCCTTTTTTGGTATTTTATTTAGAGACAGGGTCTCACTGAATTGCTTAGGGTCTCACTAAATTGTTGAGGTTGGCTTTGATTTTGTGATCCTCCTTCCTTGGCCTCCGAAGCAGCTGGGATTATAGGCATGTGCCACCATGCCTGGCCATAGTAGTTTTTTTTTTTTTTTTTTTTTTTTTTTTTTTGTGGTGCTGGGGTTTGAACCCAGGGCTATGTACACACAAGACAAGTACTCTACCAACTGAGCTATATCCCCAGCCCCATAGTATGTCCTTGATAGACACTTTTTTTTTATTATTTCAACAGTGTCTTCCTAAGTTGCTGAGGGTCTTGTTAAATTTCTCAGGCTGGCCTTGAACTTGGAGTTCTCCTGTCTCAGGCTCCCAAGTCTGGCTTAATATATACTTCTGAATGAGTTAACAGGGGAAACTGCCATACATACTAAATGCTGTGGGTATAAAACAACAACAGCACCAGCAATAACAACTGTGGCTTCACATTTGAGTTACCTGGAGTATATTTGATATCAAATTGAGTCTCATAAGCATGCTCTGGTACGGATAGTACATGCCAGGGCAAGTAGCTTTGGAGAGCCAGTTATTTTACAAAAGTTATTGTTACCTAAGGAATATTGGGAATTTGGCTACAAGTGAAGAATGAGACCATGGAGTGTGATATAAGCTTCTAGAACCTTCACTGAAAGATGATGGAACTGGAGAAAGACTGGATGATTTCTTTCTTTTTTTTGTGTGTGTGGTTGGAATTGAACTCAGGGGCACTCGGCCACTGAGCCACATCCCCAGCCCTATTTTGACAGGGTCTCACTGAGTTTCTTAGTGCCTTGCTTTTGCTGAGGCTGGCTTTGAACTAGTGATCCATCCTGAGCACTTGGGACCCGGCAGATTGGGTGATTTCTAAAGTTCCTTTAAAATTTTATTTATTTATTTTTTTGATACTAGGGATTGAACCCTGGGGCACTCTACCACTGAGCTACATCCTTAGCTCTTTTTGTTTTTTACTTTGAGACAGTCTCACTAAGTTGCTGGACTCAAATTGAGATCCTCCTGCCTCAGTCTCTGGAGTCACCAGGATTACAGGCATGCACCATGGCTTCCAGCTTTAAGGTTCTTTTTTTTTTTTTTTGTATTTTTTCGGTGGTGGGGATTTAACCTATGGTCTTCCACTATTCTAGTCAAGTGCTCTACCATTGAACTATAACCCAGTCCTCTCAAGTTCTTAATTCATTACTAAGGAATAAAAATGCTTGTGTGTGTGTGTGTGTGTGTGTGTGTGTAAAGTTGCAATGCTGAACCTTGCCACAAGATGGCAGTAACATCCTTATTAAAACCTTATGTTCTCCAAGTTGAAGTCAATAGAAATAAATCCAGAGGATTCATTAGAGATACAAATTATTTTAGCCAAGATACCATATGTTAGCATCCATTAATTTTGGAAAACTATATTTCAGAGAGAGTTAACTTCAATTTGTAATATTTGGAAAATACTTTGAAATATACGGTTCCTTCTCTCTTCCCTCCCATCTTTTTTTTTGCCTTTCTCATTCTTCTCTTCCTTTTTTTTCCTTTCATGTTTTCATTTTAGTCCATGAAAACATTTCTTTTTTTTTGTTTTTTGTTTTGGTCCAACACTTTGATAGTATTTTATTTCAAACTCTGATCTCTACCCAGTGATTACAAAAGAATGTTGCCTATTAGCTCCCACAGTCTCTGCTGTGAAAAAAACTATCAGATGCTTGTTCAGTGAAACATATTGTCTTTCATCTAGACTCAGAAGCTAGACATATGATTTTAAAAAGACAAAGGGTCAATGGCTATGCATACTAGCCAATGACCTGGGCCCAGCCATCAGACATGGTTGTAAGGATGAATCTGCTCAAAAGATCCAAGCAAGGCAGGAGGAAACAGGGGTGGTCTGAAAGAGATGGATGACTTCACAACTTCCAGCATCATCATCACCAGTGCTTTACCCCAAGAGTCATTTTTGTCGTCAGGCTAGCTGAGACTTAGGGTCCTCTCTTTGTGCCTCTTCACATTTTTCCAAAGGTTCCAGCTGGGGGCCAGGAATCATCACCATCTTAAGGATGGGCTGCTTAGGGGGTGCCCATGGGGGAACAATCTTGCCATGCATTCTCCAGCTCCCGTAGGGGTTCAGCAGGTGTTTTTCAAACACAGTATACTCCAAGACATCCTTGGGCACATCTTCTTGTCCATACATCAACCGCCCAAACCGATCATAGATGGCTAGAGTCTGCCGTGTGTGCATGCAGACAGTAACCTGGCCACACATGTTGCTCTGGTTCACCAAACTCGAGCAGCGAACCTGCACCACCTGGGCCGGCCCTAAAGATTCCACGAAGCCCCAGCGGACAGTCTTATAATCGATGTCCCAGACCATATCCGGAAAACACTGTTCCGTTACCAAAGTGTGAAGCCGGTCATGGTCTGACTTGTTTAGACAAAGGTGAGCTTCTATGAAAATATCCTTAGCTTTTTCAGGGAAGTCCTTTGTTTTAAAATTAGCATCAAATTCTTTTATCTTCCGGATTGACAATTGTGATGCTGCATTTTTCTTCAATCGCTCAGTTCTCTGTTTCAGTCCTTCCTTTGAAAGAGATGACATTCGAGCCTCACCCTCAGGAGGAACATAAGCATCAAAGATACCAGTTGTACAGGCCACATGTATGGGCCGGTCCAAACGTTCTGGGGGAATAACCAATCCTGCTTTCCGGGCATATTCTATAAACTCCTTTTCTGTTTTGTATTTGGGTTCATAAGCAGGAGGTGTGAAACGTTTTTTAGTTCTTACTGGGACTACAGCTGTAGACTGAGTCATCAAGAGTGACTGCCGAGACCACCATCCCAAAGCTTTGGATAAGCAAGACAACCTCCGAGGCACGGGCTGCCATTTTGTTCACACAAAAAGCCATGAAAACATTTCCAGTCAAACAAAACAGAGATGTGCAAGAAAAGGTTAATATTTTCACCATTCTTTTAATTCAACCCTCCAAAGTAACTAATATTCTCCATTTCTTTCTCTATAGTCATACATATATACATATACATATACATGTACATATATATATATATATATATATACACACATATATACATACATATACATATACATGTACATATATATTTTTTCTTTTGACCTTTAATTAGTATCTGATCTTCTGTTTGGAGATAAAATTAGACAGTTGAAAACTTTTCCAACTCTTTCCTACTGTCACAAATAATGATTATGATAACAAGAACACCACCACAAACATACACAGTATGTTCAAAACCCACTACCATTGCACCTCTGTTTTTACTTTCTCCTGTTTTGGGAAAAGAAACACTTAGTATGAGAAAATTGACTACATCTGCCTTTGCTTTATGTTCCCATTTGTCTTCTCTGTTCTTTATACGCAATTCTGTTATTCAGTCTTCACCAGAATCATTTGGATTAAAACCCGTGGGTTGGGCAGTTGGAAATATTCATGGGAAGAGAATCCTGCAGGACCCCACAGCTGCTCCTGTGGAGGAAGCTTGAAGCCACCCCTTAGGTAAGCAGCTCCTCCCCTGTGTCCCTCTGGGCTTTACCAGGTGGAGCTTCCCTCCCTCCCTCACAGAGAGGGTTTGTCTTCTGCAGCTGCCAGGAGGTTGTGCCAGGCTGGTGGTGTCCTGCAGCCAATGTGGGGATTTTTCCTTTTTCATGTTTCCCTGCTGGTGGGAGGTAAGCCTGAACTTAATAGCAAACACAGCTGGTAGTTTTCAAGTAATTTTCTTCCAGCTAAATGATTGCAACTTCTAACTTTTGTAACAAAGAATCTTTCCCGCTAGACTTATGAGGATATTCCAATTATTACAGAATATTTAATAATAACTATTGCTATTGCTTCTTCTTTTACCGTTTCTATCCAGGCAATTCCCTTGTCAGTGGCAGCTTTTCTGTGACCACAGGGAAGCACCGTTTTTTGATAATCACGTGGCTTCCAGGAGTGCTGTCCTGGTAATGGTCTTGGTACCCCTCACAGGTGCTGCAGGACAAAGTGTCGAGCAGCCCACTGAGCTGACCGCTGTGGAAGGAGCCTTCATCCAGGTCAACTGCACGTACCAGACATCTGGGTTCAACGGGCTGTCCTGGTACCAGCAACGTGAGGGTGGAGCACCCATGTTTCTCTCTTACAATGTTCTGGATGGTGTGGAGAGGAGAGGCCAATTTTCTACATTCCTTAGTCGGTCTGATGGGTACAGTTACCTTCTCCTGAGTGAGCTCCAGGTGCAAGACTCTGCCTCTTATGTGTGTGCTGTGAGAGACACAATGGTTATGTGGCCTCTGAGGCTGCACCAAAATCCAGAGGCCACAGCATTGAGAAGTTGTATTTCCTGTGATTGTCTGCTGTGAATTAAATCTTTGGAACTAGATATGAGGATCTGAGTTTGCCACTATCTTTTTTTAAATTTATTTTTTATTTGTAGATGGATACAATGCCTTTATTTTATTTATTTATCTTTATGTGGTGCTGAGGATCAAACCCAGTGCCTCACATGTGCTAAGCAAGCTCTCTACTACTGAGCCACAACCCCAGCCCCTGAGTTTGCCACTTTCAAACCTGCTGGTAGCTTTACGCAAGTCACTTTTTTCTATTTTTTTTCTTATTTATAAAATGGGAATAATATTACTGCCTCATAGGGTTGTTATGATTAATGAATCTGTATATGTATATTTTCTGTGACTTAGAACAGCGCAGGAAGATAGAGACTCTGAAATTGTTATTTTACTTCTAGCGTTGAACTCTATGTTATGTGGCAGGGCTCTGGTACACGATCTCAGTATTTCTCTACCCTTTGTTCATGGAAGATGGAATCCTGAAAACGATTTGTATCTTGTGGATCTCAGGCTGCAGCATGGCGTTTGTCTATGGGGCAGATTCTCTGTTCTGGAGGAATCCCTGTGGTGCTACCTATTTTCTTTGGGGAGATACTCAAGTTTGGATACCAAAATGCGAATATTTCAGAATAAGATGTGAAGTATTCGGATTAATTATTTAAGGCTATCTTCATTACACATATTCTTGAAAAATAAATATGATCTTAGCATATTTTGGAAGCTTATATGTTAGGCTAGAAGTGAGGTTTAGGGGCTTTATACTTGAGTATGGACATAATCGAGAGAATCTATAGATGACTGGAAAAAAGAGTAAGCATAAGCAACATAGGGCAACTCAGGGTGATGAAGGCGTCACCAGGGGATTCCTATGACTAGGCAGAGTCAACAGCATTAGGAACAGTAAAAATCTGTAGTAAATTTTAACATTTTATTTTCCTGATTTGTAATTCCTTTATATCATATTCAAATCTCAATGAAGTTTGTTAAATGTTTTGGCCTACTTTAAGCTAGATTTAGAGAACAAATTATTTCTGTGGAGGTTGTTTCCATAGGTGATAAAACTGATCACATAATAAAAATCTCATATTGTAGGTTGTTTGGATGTGAAAAGTTAGGAACACCCCAAGTTAACCTATGGGATAGTTAGTCTTGTGTTATATGTAAAATTTTGAAATTGAAGATTAAACAAAGCCAAGCATGGTGGTGCATGCCTATAATCCAAGGTGCTCCAGAGGCTGAGGCAGGAGGACCACAGGTTCAAAGCCAGCCTCAGCAACATAGCAAGACTCTGTCTCAAAAAAAAAAAAAAAAGAAAGAAAGAAAGAAAAAAAGGATTGGTGATGTTGTTCAGTGGTTAAGCACTCCTGGATTCAATTTCTGGTACAAAAAAATTTCTCTTTGGGTAAGTTGGGAGGGATTTTTCATTTAAAATATAAGATTGACTTTCAGATGGAATTTGAATGGGCATAAGTTGAAAATCAATCTGATAATATGGGTCAAGGCCATAAAGATTCATTTTACTTTTCTTTTAATTAGTTTAATAACAAAAAAGTATTTTATTTAGAAGTTATTAGATTCATTTTTCTTTTACCTGGTATTTCCATGTTTGAGCTGTCAAAGAGATACGGGCTAGAAATGAGATTTAGAGGCTTGCAACTTGGTGAGTATGGAGTGTTACTATAGTAGCATTATATTCGTTAGGTCAATATATGAACAACAATATCATGTACGTTATGATGAATTGAACACTTTAGAGCTGACTTGGTTTCTACTGCTGCGTAACAAGTCACCATGATATCCATTCTGTAGCCGGTGGTTTTTCAAGTCATGATTCCACATGGTGCAGCTGATCCTGTGCTTAGGTTATCACAGGGCTAAACTCAAAGTGTTGACTGGCTGAATTCTCGGGTCAGGCTCAGGATCCTCTTCCATGTTCATTTCTATTACTATCAGAATTCTGTTCCTTGCAGCTGTGAGACTGAGGTACCCGTTCCTTGCTCTTTGTGGTGGTCTGGGGGCATCTTTGAGCTCTTTAAGGGCACCTGCATTCCTTTCATGTGATTCCCACCATCTCAGAACCAGCAACAGCAAGTCAAATCCGTCTCCCATGGAATCTTTCTGGCTTTATTTTCTGCTACTGGACAAAGTGCATGTGTTTCTAAGTCTCCTGTGATTGGGCAAAGCATATCTAGATAGCTCCCTTTTCAAAAGTCAACTGTGCCATGACACAACATAATCATCAGAGTGTTATTTAATTATATTCCAGACTGTGGGGATGAGGGCATGGAATCTTGGGACTGTTCCTTAAAATTCTCCCTACCATATAGTCCATAAATGAATAAAAGCCCTAATGTCAAAAACTGCTTATGATAAAACAATGAATCAAGAACTGGGTGCATAATTGCATATAAGGAATGATCATTGTGGTGTAAAAACTTTTAAGCATAGGAAAACATAGAAATGAATGACAACACTCCATTGCATTTCCCTTACTTTAAGTCTTAGTGTGTGTAGATGGATTTCCCTCTCTCTCTGAGACAATGTCTTAGGTTAGGATCTTCAAAAGTAGACCCCAAGGCTGGTGTTTGAGTACAGTAGTTATTTGAGAGGTAACACTGGCAGAAGAGTAGGGAAGTGAGGTGAGGTGGAGAAGGAAAGGAAGCCAGCAAAGTATACATTATCAAGGTTACTTCTGTAGAACTAACCCTGCTAGAAAATTCTGAAGCCAGTAGAACACAAGTGTAGAGTTACTCTGCTAGAAGGATAGGAAAACTGGGATATTTATCCACTATATTAGTTATCTACTACTGCAAAAGAAATGACCTCAAACATGATTTCTGATTTAGTCAACTTTTTTGCTGCTGTGACTAAAAGACCTGACAAGAACAATTTTAAGGCGGAATAGTTTATTTGGGGGCTCATGATTTCAGAGGTCTCAATCCATAGACAGCCAGCTCCATTCCTTGTGGCTTCAAGTGAGGCTCGAAGTGGTGGAAGATGTGGCAGAGGAAAGTAGCTCACATGATGATCAGGAAGCAGACAAAGACTCCACTTTCCAGATACAAAATATATACCCCAAAGGCATGCCCACAAAGCCCATCTTCTCCAGCCACAACCTACCTGCCTTAAGTTAACCCCATGAGGTTTAATTCACCAATTGGGTTAAGGCTCTCATAACCCACCCAATCATTTCTCCTCTAAACCTTCTTGCATTTTTTCGCACATGAGAGTTTGGGGGATACCTCATATCCGAACCATAACAGTGTCTAAACATTAGTTAATAAATATTTATTTTCCTATAAGTTCTACGGGTGAGGAATTTGGGAACAGCTGAGCTGGGTAGTGTTGGCTCAGAGTTTTTTTTTTTTTTTTTTTTTTGGGGGGGGGGAAGTGATGGGAATTGAATCCAGGGCCTTGCACATGCTGAGCATGCACTCTAACCCTGAGCCACACCCACCCCCTGGCTCAGAGTTTTTATGAAGTTTCAGTCAAGTCAAAATCATCTAAAGGCTTGACTACGACTGGAGGATGCACGCCTAGGTGTTTCACTCACATGGTTATTGGCAAGAGGCCTCAGATTTTTATCACATGAATCTCTACAGTGTGTTTTTAGGACACACTGTCTGGCTTCTCCCAGAGAGAGTAATCTGAGGGAGAGAGGGAGGGAGAGGGAGAGGGAGAGGGAGGGAGGGAAACTTGTATCTTTTATAATTTAGCCTCAGTGTGTCCTTCAGTCCCTTCTCCTGTATTCTATTGGTCATACAAACCCGGAATGATACATTCATAAAGGGGATTACCAGCAAGAATTCCAGAGTTTATGGAAACAATTGGAGTCATCTTGTTGACTGGCTCCTTTTTTTATTTGGGGGAAGGGTCTTGCTATGTTTCCCAGGCCAGCCTCAAACTGGCCATCCTCTTGGTT